TCCCAGCGCGAATCCGACAGCGTGATCGATGTCGACGCGATGTCTGACGTCCCCGTTGTCAAGACCAAGCCTCCGGTGGAGGAGTCTGACAGGGTTATCGCGATCAAGAAGGAGCCCGGGGTATCCGACCTCGAAGACGACGCACCTCTCGCCGGGCCTTCCAACGCTCCCCTTGCCGGGCCTTCCAACGCACCCCTCGCCGGGCCTTCCAACACTCCCCTCGCCAAGCCTTCCAACGCTCCCCGCACCTCGAAGGTGCGGGCCAAGCAAGCGTTGTCTTCCACCTCCAAGGGGAAGGAAGCCGTTGCGAAGGTCACCCGGAAGCGTAAATTGGTAAATCATTACCACCCAGTGAGGGTAGCGTACTCATTCTCCAACAGGCCGTCGACAATGGGGAGGACGCTACCTCCCCCAGCAAGCCCGCCAAGAAGTCGAAGTAGCATGGGGACGTATGGGTCATTCGAAGGGATGGATTGGCGTCGTTTGCAGAGTGATTGTAAGATCTTGATAACGTTGCAGCCCGGTCGCAGGGTACTTCGGTCGATCGTCCCACTCTGAAACCGTTTGTCGTCGTGATGGCGTTCGTGTGATCGTATGTAGCAAAGCGATATGATAGAGAATTCCGCTGACAGTCCTGTGTAAGCGTGCGCAACGAAACAATGGTTGGCGACTGGCTTCACGACACAGCGGGCGAAAACCTCAATGGCGTGCTTCGTATTACAGACCAGTCTCGGAGTGGTCTCGGCCCGGCGTGCTTCTCCGATGAGATCTGGAGCCAGTACCCCGGTCCCTTCTCTTGACTTCACGGAATGTCTATCGTCCCTGTTCGCCGCAATTGCTGGTTGACTCGTCCTCCGTCCCTGTGCTGCGGCACGGCTGCGGTACCTCCATGGCGTATTTCAATCCTCCAACAATTGAGAACACTCACTCCCTCTCCCCCGCTCAGCATGCCGACATCCCCCAACACGAAAAAGGTTCGCCTGCAGGCCAACACTAGTCCTTGCCTGCAGTGTGCGTGGGCGGGAGTGGCGGACGAATGCCGCTACAAGCACAAGACTCAGAGCTGCGAGCGCTGCCTCGATTTGAAGAACGTCCTCCAGTGCAGCGGGGTCAAAGGTGATTTCCATTCCAGGGTTCTTCCTGTTATTTACTCTGACCTCGCTATAGGCCTCTACGCAGATCGTCCCGATCTTGACGTGCCTACGCTGGTGCGCGACATCTACCAGGCCATGGGGCATTACAACACGAGCCTCAAGAGCGTCGACAAACGCCTCCGGGCCATCGAGAAAGCCCTCTTCACCACCGACGCCTCCCCAGATGCGGAGGGGAGTGCAGCCGAAGAAGACGAATTGGAGGGGGAAGGCGGCGATCACGACGGCGACGAGGTGCCAGAGGACGCATCGGGTTCCCAGGGCGAGGAGGTCGCGGAGATCGAGGAGGCGCAGGAGGTCGAGGAGGATGAGGAGGTCGAGGAGGCGCAGGAGGACGAGGAGGACGAGGAGGACGAGGAGGCGCAGGAGGATCAGGAGGACGAGGAGGTGAAGGAGGATGAGGAGGACAAGGAGGATGAGGAGGATGAGGAGGATGAGGAGTTCCAGCCCTCCTCGGACGAGAAGGACATCACAACCCGTATCGACCGTCGGTACCTTGGCAAGATGATCGCGTCGAACATGTGGAGCAAGGTTGGGATCAGTGCGGGGAAGAAGGTCGCTGATAAGAAGGTCGCTGAGAAGAAGGCAGTCCAGCCTGCCAAGAAGGTGGTGAAGAAGACCCCCACCCCGAAAAACGCCAACGTCAAGAGCGTAGGCACAGTAGCGGTCGTCATCAACCCCAAGGCCAAACCCGTGGACACCAAGGGTAAGGCCAAGGCCAACGACGTCAAGGTGAAGGCCGCAGATGTGAAGGGGAAGGGGAAGGCACTCCCTGCGGGTTCCTCCACGGATAGGCTTAAGAAGCGTAAACCGGTACGGCTCCTTCATCTGCTAGCGTGACGTTCGTCTCTGATTGGCTTCCGCAGGAGGCCG